GTGTGATTGGACACACAAGGAATTTGTCTTTGGTGCATATGCTCTCAGTGTACATAAAAGAAAAGATATGTTCATCAAGAATCATAAGGTACAACACTTAATGATAATCATAGGGTACAAATAAGCAATTGAATCATACTAGGAAACAATCAATATAAATCGTAAGGATACAGCAACAAGTTAGTCATACAGTCGTAAGTGGGAGGAGATGAGTGATAGGAACAATGAGAAGATTAATAGTAGTGCAGACTTAGTAAATAGTTTGACAGTGTTGAGGGAATTAGTTGTTTAGCAGAGTGATGGCGTTCGGGAAAAAACTGTCCTTGTGTCTAGTTGTTCTGGTGTGCACTGCTCTATAGCATCGTTTTGAGGGTAGGAGTTGAAACAGTTTATGCTCAGGATGCGAGGGGTCTGTAGATATTTTCACATACATAGATACATAGATACATAGAGAATACTCCATGCCAGTGGTTCTCAACCTTTTCTTCACCATGGGCCTTCTTTAAATACCTTTTCTGGCCACGGACCCCCAAGACCTACCTCAAGATTTAAATCATAACATTTTTTTCATATCTTCACGGACTGCCTGTAATGACATCGCGGCCACCCAGGAGTCTGCAGACCACAGGCTGAGAACCACTGATCTATACTGTATACCACCTGGATCAATTGAAGGAAATGTAAGGTAGAAATACAACACGCACACATAAATACCTACACACACATACTATATACATATACCTACACAATCATACACATGTATTCCTCAACTTACAACCAGTTGTTAGTGACGATTCAAGGTTCCAGCAGACCTACCTGGAAGGTTCTTACAACGCATATTTGAAGTTCCAATGGTCACCTTTAACAATCACAGCGATTCATGTAACCACCGCCACAAAAAAAATATGGTTAAATTGGTTCAGTCACATGACTGACCTGCTTTACAACTGTCACAAACTACAACCATAGGACAAAACTCGAGGGCTATCTCGAGGGCTAAATCCATAGCTAATGTCAACTTGCAAAGCTTTCAAGTTGCCATGAGCAGGAGGGAGGGAGAACTGAAGTGAATTCCATACATTCTTTCTGACCGCAATCAGAAGGAGGGTGTTAGGTTTCACAGCCAGCCAAAATGGTTATTTGGAGAATGTGATTTATGACATGGCCAGAGAGGAGGGGAGAGACAGGGTCATAGGGGAACGAAAATCTACATAGGATCAGTCCTAACTGCATCCGAGTATTGCCGGAATGTTGCTCCTAATAAATGAATATATTTCCTTTGAAGTTTGGATCATGGCTCATGAATTAATTAGGGCATCTTTCGGAAACTTGACAGCTAGTATATTTGTGACAAAGACAGCATCGGCCTACGCATTTTTCCTTTGTAGAATACAAATAGCCAAATAAAAACAAAATAATGCAACATAATGAAATAAAATGTTAATAAATAATAGCATGCAAATATAATAAAACAAAGAGATGCGGTGGCTCAGTGGTTAAGACCCTGAGCGTCTCAATCGAAAGGTCGGCAGTTCAGCGGTTCGAATCCCTAGTGCCGCGTAACAGGGTGAGTTCCCGTTACTTGTCCCAGCTTCTGCCAACCTAGCAGTTCGAAAGCACGTAAAAAAGGCAAGTAGAAAAATAGGGAATACTTTGGTGGGAAGGTAACAGCACTCCATGCACCTTCGGCATTGAGTCATGCCGGCCACATGACCATGGAGACATCTTCGGACAGCGTTGGCTCTTCGGCTTTGAAACAGAGATGAGCACCGCCCCCTAGAGTCAGGAACGACTAGCACATATGTGCGAGGGGAACCTTTACCTTTACCTATAATAAAATAATACCATCATAAAACAAAGTAAAATTTAAATATATAAAGTAAAAAAACAAAAACAAATGATTAATAAAATAATATATAAATAGGATAATAAAATAGTAAAACAAAAATAATGAAATAAATTATAAATACCGTAAAAATAATAGCATTAGAAGCTTCAGTGGCATTACAGTATTGTCTTTTGTTTTAATTCTGCCACAGCAATAATAGCACTGAAAGTTGGTGGAAAGTTCAAACCAAATTCTCCTTTTTCAATCCTAACAGCAGCAGCCCAATCTTCCTTCTTTGTCTTCCCTTCCTGTTCTCCCCCAACCCTACGTCCTGATGGCTCTGTGGTGGTGGCCCTATTTATCTTGCCCCTCCCCCCACGGGGCATAATTTGAAGAGATGCACCCCATCAACTCTTGACAACTAGCTCTGCTTTTTAGAATGATGGTCTATATTTATGCAGTGCATTTCATCCAAGATGGCGATCAGAAAACGATGTTAGTCTATGGCAAAAAAACCTGACACTGAATCTGGTACCGGTAGCATCATATTTGTTTAATGATTTATGGTATCTGGTTCTCTAATAGAATCTAATTAAATTTATTTATCTAGCCACCAGGAGTTGCCTTGGCAAAATGGGCAGCACAGAACTCTAGTAATAAATAAATACGTAATAATTTATATGATGGCTTATCTCATGACCGGGATTTTGGGCAGCACACACAATTAAAACACAAAGCTAAACAGCCAACATAATTCAAACACAACCTCCAAAAAACCAGTTTAAAACAGTTTTTTTTAAAAAAAAAACAATATTTGTCCAGACTAACCAATGTTGGTGTCTTCTACATTTAACCAGGTTGGTTAAAGCCGCAGCAGCTGTATTGGCTGAGTTAGTATAAACCTTGGTTAGCTTTTTTTGTGACTGAGTGGGTTGGGTCACTGCAGCTCCCAGTTGCTCTGGCCAGATGGACACTTACAGAAGGGGAGGGAATGACAAAAGTGTGAGTTGTGTTGTAAATTCCCCGCTCCTTTTGTGACATAACAGGCAGGACCTGGGTCATGACATGTTGACATGCCTCCTCTTATTATGACAAGAGTTCCTTTTAGTGCAGACGCTGATTATGGCCCAGTCTCCAAACCCTCTGAATCTCACTGGGCTGAGTGACACAGTGAGATGCCGTAGTGGCAGTTGTTGTGACCCAGGCCCAAGTAAGTAATAGGAAAATCAGTCAGTGAAAAAACAAACTTTATTCGAACAGCTGAGAATTACTTCATTCCCAGCGTCGTTCAACTAAATTAAAGCAAATTCCTCCCAACACAAATTCCTCAGTCCTATCGCAAACCTTCGTCCAATTAGGCAAACTGCCAAAGGCCTTTCTTGGCAAACGTTCAGAAGTCCCAGATACAAAAATAAATGCAAGACGTAGATGAAGAAGACGACGAAGCTACCAATGTTGTTTTCCGGCAAAGCCCAAATGCCGTTGCTGGTCTGTTTTAAACCTTAGGGGTGGGGCCAATCATCTCTTGGCCCTACTCCCGAGTTGTCCTCTTTGCTTGAGCTGGTCTTGCCTTCTGGCAGCTCTTCTCACACGTGCATTAGGAACAGGCTCCTCCTGTTCCTCTGCCTCACTCCTATCAGTCTCTGGAGGCTCTGGAGTCTGCACTTCACTCCCCGATGGCCCTGGCCCCATCTCTGCCTCAGACGCAGAGCCCTCATCCGGGCCTTCCCCAGCCTCCAGGACTGGCCCATGTTCTTCCTCAGCCTCATCGCTGTCCGACTCCGCTGCCAGCTCTGCAGGCTGCTGGCAGACCACAACAGCAGTTTACGAAGCCTTGACTACTCTCACACTTGAGACTGAGATGCTGATGCTGTACAATTGATCTAATCAGTTAATTGGTTCAAATGCAGAAAATGGTAACAGGTAGTCCTTGACTTATAACCAGGGGTGGGCTGCTGGGGGTTCACAGGGGTTCGGGAGAACCTCCAGCTAAGATTCTGTGCAGTTCGGAGAACCCCCAAATCCCACTCCTGGCTGACCCCGCCCACCTCATCCCGCCCCTCCCAGGAATCCCCATGCAGCCTGTTTTAGATGCAGGTAAGTGCAGGGCATGCACAGAGGCTCGGGGAGGGTGAAAAACGGGCCTACCAGAAGTTCGGAAAGACCCTTTTCCAGTCTCCAGAGGACCTCCGGAGCCTGTGGAGGCCATTTTTGCCCTTCCGGAGGCTCGAGGAAAGCCTCCGGAGCCCGGGGAGGGCAAAAAAGCCCCCCTACCGCTGTGGTGCAGGAGGCTGACTAGGCCACGCCCACACAGCAACCGGGCAAAGAACCCCTTGCTAAAATTTTTGAAGCCCACCCCTGCTTATAACCATTCATTTATTGACTGTTTGAAGTGGAACAACTTCAGAAGTTGAGAGTGCTCCATCACTGGGGGCTTTTAAGAAGAGACTGGACAGCCATTTGTCTGAAATGGTACAGGGCCTCCTGCTTGAGCAGGAGATCCGACTAGAAGACCTCTAAGGTCCCTTCCAATTCTGTTATTCTGTTTCAGTGGCACTGAAAAAGGGGATTGATGACTCTTGCATCATCCCCAATTTGGATGCTTGGCAACTGGCATGTATTTATGACGGTGGCAGTGTCCCAGACGGGATCATGTGATCACTTTTTGCTACCTTCTGACGAACGAAGTCAATGAGGAAACCAGACTCACATAACAACCATGTTACTCACTTAAAAGCTGCAGTGATTCACTCAACAACTGTGGCAAGAAAGGTCGTAAGATGAGGCAAAACTCACTTAGCAATGGAAATTCTGGTCCCAATTGTGGTCATACGTTGAGACTACCTGTGCCAGTGGTGGGTTTCAAATTTTTTTACTACCGGTTCTGTCGGTGTGGCTTTGGTGGGCATGGCATGGCTTGGTGGGCGTGGCTTGGTGAGTGTGGCAGGGGAAGGATACTGTAAAATCCCCATTTCCTCCCTTATCAGATGGGACTTGGGAGGCAGAGAATAGATGGGGGTGGGGCCAGTCAGAATTTTTACTACCGGTTCTCCAAACTACTCAAAATTTCAACTACCGGTTCTCCAGAACTGGTCAGAACCTGCTGAAACCCACCTCTGACCTGTACCATCCCAGCTTGATTTTCCTTCTTATGGGTGCTCTAATTTTCCAGGGGAGGCTGTTCATCTCGCTCGAGACTTTGGCTATGTGTGCGAAACAGAGTTCCCAGCCAAGGCAGCAGCGGAATATCTGTGCCGCCAGCACTCGGATCCCAGCGAGCTCCACGCCCGGAAAAACATGCTTTTAGCAACCAAGTAAGTAATAGGATCCCACCTGTGGTGGAAGGCAAGCTAGCATCAAAGTCAGCTTGAAGGATAATAGGCACGTTTTTGCAATTATGCATGATGACAGTGCAGAAAATCCAATAAGTGTTCATAGACAGCTATATTATTTCTCACAATGGAAAAAAAAACGGATGGGAAAAAGTAGATTTGGCGGAAAGTAAACTGTTTTAAACAAAGAAGATTTTATTCAGTCCTGTTTCCATTGGGGGATCACTTCTGAGTTTTTTTATACACAAAATAGGGGGGGGAAAGGAAATATAGACTTTAGTTTGAAGATTGAATAATTGTATAATTATAGAAATAGTTTATAGTAACTAAATGTAATACAAAAAGCTGAGGCTGTAAATCTAGTTACTATTTCACTCTGCTGTACTGGAAAGAGTCAGAAGTCAATGCTTCCCCCCCACTTCTTTTCTTTTATCCTGCACCCCCTTTTTATTTTTATTTACATTTATAAATATAAATTTACATTTATAAAATACCTTCATAAAATATTGGGAATATTTCATGGAAGGATAGGAGTAGTTGCAGGTGGCAAATGATAAATTCCGGGTGCGATTCAAGGTGTTGGTTACCACCTTTAAAGCGCTCCATGGCACAGGACCCGGGTACCTTCGAGACCGTCTTCTGCCACCAATAGCCTCCCACCGACCAGTCCGTTCCCACAGAGAGGGTCTCCTCAGGGTGCCATCAGCCAAGTTATGTCGGCTGGCGACACCCAGGGGGAGGGCCTTCTCTGTGGGAGCCCCAGCCCTGTGGAATGAACTGCCCCCGGAAATACGTAAGATCTCCGACCTCCGGGTGTTCCGCTGCGCACTGAAGACCCTGTTGTTCCGCCAGGCAGGGCTGTCAATATAATAATTTTAAATTGGGGTATTTTAATTTTTAGGGTTTTAAATTGGCCAAATCTATTTAATTATTTTAATTTTTAATTATTGTTGTGTCTTGTGTTTTTAAATTGGCTGTACACCGCCCTGAGTCCTTCGGGAGAAGGGCGGTATAGAAATAAAATTATTATTATTATTATTATTATTATTATTATTATTATTATTATTATTATTATTATTATTATTATTATTATTATTAATATACAGACTTCTCCATGACACTGATCATTAAAAATATAGGTAGTACTCCACCTAATCAAGTGGACAAGAAGGAATGGATGCCGCTTATCAAAGAGAGATCCAGTTTAGCATTAAGGATAAATTTTATGTCAGTGAAATCAAGAATTGATCAGTGGAACGGCTTGCTTTCAGAAGTTGTGGCTGCTCCATCCCTGGAGGTGTTTAAGAAGAGACTGGACAGTCACTTGTCTGGATCTCCTAGGACAATGATGGCTAACCTTTTTGCCGTCACGTGCCAAAAGTGGGGGGAGCATGGGGGGGTCATGCGCGCACGTGCCCACACCCATAATGTGCCCTGCCCCCCGTGCATGCGCACATCACCCACACGCTCCCCAACCCCCCTGCATGTGCACACGACCCACCACTGCTCCCCTGTGCATGTGTGTGTGACCCCCCTCAGCCCATTTTGGGCCTGGCAGGCCTCCCTGGAGCCTCCTGGGACCAAAAACAGGCCATGGGGGGCACTCTGCTTCCCCCTGCACTCCCCTACCCCCCACACATGCACCACGCCCCCTTGCCAGAGACCCAAAAATCAGCTGCCCAGCTGGAGGCACGCACATATGCGCGGAGGAGCTGAGCTAGGCGATGGCTTGTGTGCCAGCAGAGAGGGCTCTGCGTGCCAACTATGGCACATGCGCCATAGGTTCGCCATCACGGTCCTAGGATCTCCTGCTTGAGCAGGGAGCTGGACTAGAAGACCTCCAAGGTCCCTTCCAGCTGTATTCTGATTCTCTGTTCATTTCCCTTTTTCTCACTCCAGGCAAATCTGCAAAGAGTTTGCCGATATGATGGCTCAAGATCGCTCCCCTTTGGGAAACAGCCGCCCCACACTCATCTTGGAACCTGGCGTTCAAAGCTGCTTGACGCACTTCAGCTTAATCACCCATGGTTTTGGAGGGCCGGCGATCTGCGCGGCGCTCACCGCGTTCCAGAACTACTTGGTGGAGTCCCTCAAAGGGCTCGACAAAATGTTCATGAACAGCACGGGCAACGGTCACTCGGTTGGCGACTCCAAAACCTCAGAAAAGGATGTTAAGCATCGGAAATGACCCCTTCTGCAGGCTGTGACCCACCACGTCTCCCCATCGGAGGGGTCCTTCCCATTTCCAGGACGTGAGAGACAGGAAGGTCCTTCAACACTCTTGGAAGTGTTGCGGGGGGTGGGAGGAAGGAGATGATCAACCTTCTTTCTCCTGCCAGGTTTTCCAAACTGTGACGGATGCATTTTTGAAACCAAGTCAGTGAAAAAGAGAAGATTGGAGAAGAAGAATGGGCGGAGCCAACCTCAGCACGAGGAGACATTAGTTACTGGTTTGGGTTGACACCTCTGATTTTCCATAGGAGAGACTGGAAGCCTGGTTATATGTGCAATTATTTTGATGATTTTATGTCTTTCTTTGGAAAAGTCCGTGCTCAGAAAAAAAGGTTGGGAGGTTCCAGGCAGCATTGCCAAGGAGAAAGCCAAGACAAAGAGGTCTTCAGGTAGAAAGTCTTTTCAGAATCAAGGCCTGTTTAGAGTCAAAGAGTACTGGATTTGGTTTTTTTTTTTTGACTCCTGCAACAGGCCTGGGCATCTGCACCAGATAGAGAAGGCTCCATCAGCACTTCTTTTAATCATGATCTTACAAATCACCCTTCCTAAAGTTTGACATGGTTTTCCTTTGCTACAGTCTCATGGCGGAAAAAACTTCCCAGTGATACAATCTTGGAAAATGTTGTACAACTTTGTTTACCGATTTTTTGGGGGTCCAGTTAGACCTCATGGTGGAGGTGCTGATAGAGCCATCTTGGTAGCCCCCACCCAGAGGTGGGTTTCAGCAGGTTCTGACCAGTTCTGGAGAACCGGTAGCGGAAATTTTGAGTAGTTCAGAGAACCGGTAGTGAAAATTCTGACTGGCCCCGCCCCCATCTATTCTCTGCGTCCCGAGTCCCAGCTGATTGGGAGGAAATGGGGATTTTACAGTATCCTTCCCTTGCCATGCCCACTAAGCCACACCCACCAAGCCATGCCACGCCCCCAAGCCACACCGACAGAACCAGTAGTAAAAAATTTTGAAACCCACCACTGTCCCCACCCCAACACTAAAGGGGAGAAAATCCCTGTTCTTAGGCATCCTCTTTTCTATCAAGGTGTCATTTCAGCTTCTCTGGACTGAAGCTGAGTGAGACAGTCCAAGTTCTGAAACATTCGTCATGCTCTTAATATTAAATAACGGAATAATAAATTAATAATTGATTTGAAGCACAAGACTAGCCCTTGAAGGAGAGGCCAAACGGAACTTATAATGAAATCTGTATATATTTATTTATGTGTAATTAAATAAATAAAAAAAGTTTTAACATGTCCGGTGTGCATTATTTAAAATGATTTTAAGTTGGGATTTCTATGGGGTTTGGGATTTGTTTTATTTTTGTTATGTTATGAAAAATATAAGTCAGTTCTTGCAATTTTCGGGAATAAGGTTTCGGAACGCACAACAGGGTAGCATGGATTACAGTTTGCAATGCAAATAAATTAAGAGACATTTCAGCACATTTGGTATTCTCCTTCCCCCTCCCCCTCTCTGCCTTTTGTACTTCCTGTGGTTTCTCTGGAAAAGCTGCAATAGATGTATGAATTCCACCCAACAAAAATGTCACCGTTATTATCTGAATAAAATCTCTTTTTATTTACCACCATCTCCAGACCTGTACTTTGTTATGGCAATAAATGGCGGGAGTGGAGGGGAGTGATTTCGGCTTTTGCCTGAAGTTTTAAGCCTATTCTAAGGCTTACGCAGCTGCTGTATGGCGTTTTCTACTTAATAACGGTGACACGGTGAGTTGCTACAATTCAGCCGTGAGGCTGGAAAAGATCCCGGGGACATCAAAGCGAAGCGGTGGGGTGGGGGGGGTGGGAGGGTTGTTGTATGTGGCCCTGGGGCTTCTCGTGGCCCAACCCTAATGGAACTGTAAAAGTGCTGAGTCACAACTTCCCAAATGCAACCTAGATTGGCCAAAAGTGCTGCAGGGACCTGAGGTGCTTAAATGATGGGCACCATAACAAAGACCTTTGCCGTTAGCCATTGTGCCAACGGGAACAGGAGTGCCGGAAGATACATAGAGTTGGGGGAAAACAAAATAAGACACCCCCTGATAATAAGCCCAATTGGGCTTTTGAGCGCATGGCAATAAGGCCAAGCGCTTATTTCAGGGTTCCAAAAAAATATGACAGGATCTTATTTTCGGGGAAACACGGTAGAAAGATCATTCCTTCCCTCCCTCCCACTTTCTCTCCTTCCTTCCTCCCTTCCCTCTCCCTCCCTCACTCCCTTTCTCTCTTTCCTTCCTTGCTCCCTCCCTCCCTTCCCTCTCCCTCCCTCTTCCTTCCTTCCCACTCTCTCCCTTCCTTCCTTCCCTTGCTCCCTTCCCTCTTCCTTCCTTCCCTCTCTCTTTCTCTCCTTCCTTCCTCCCTTGCTCTCTCTCTCCCTTCCCTCTCCTCCTTCTTCCTTCCTTCCCACTCTCTCCTTCCTTCCTTCCCTTGCTCCTCCCTCTTCCTTCCTCCCTCTCCTTCTCTCCTTCTCCCTTGCTCTCTCTCTCCCTTCCCTCTCCCTCCTTCTTCCTTCCTTACCTCTTTCTCTCCCTTCCTTCCTTCCCTTCTTTCCTCCTTCCCTCCCTTTCTCTCCTCCATCCTTTCCTTCCTTATTTCCTTCTCCTCTCTCCCTCCTTCCTTTCCTCCCTCCCTCCTTTCTTCCTTTCCTTCTTTCCTCCTTCCCTTCCTTTCTCTCCTCCATCCCTTCCTTCCCCTTCTTTCCTTCCTTCCTTCTTCTCCTCCCTCCCTCCCCCTTCCTTCCTTCCTTCCTTCCTTCCTTCCTTCCTTCCTTCCTTCCTTCTTTCCTCCCTCCCTCCCTCCCTTCACCAGAGGGTCTCTCTCCATGAATCATCTAAAAGCTATTGTGTTGTAGTGTGGAATAGAAGTGATGGGAATATAAATACAAGTAAATGTCAAAGTACAGGTAAGCTCTCATTTGGTGACTGCCCCACTGAGTGACCATTTGCAGTTATGCCAGTGATGAATAAAGTAAGCAATCCTGGCATTTACGACCATTGTAAGTCCACAAAGCAAAAGAAAGCTGAAGATTGTAAGCATGGTCACAGTTTCACTAGTAACCACTTCACTTAATGCCCGAATTGCCAGTCCCGTGTGGTTGCTAAATGAGGATGACCCGTACATTTAGGAATAAAATTAAAATTAAATGCAACAATAAGATGCTGCCACAACGCTGCTAAAAAACTAAATACTTGAAATTAATCATTATAGAGTTATAATACTGCAAGGTATAAAAGTTAGCTATAGGAAAAATGACTTTGATTTGTACAACATAAACCCCTTGTTCTTTTTTTTTGGAATTTTTTTTTTTTAAACACAAACATAAAACACATCTTTTCCAAAACGAAGCATTGATCCGGTCACAAATTAGTACAAATCACTAACAATTCTTAACTTCCAATTAACACAACTTAATATTTTATACAGTTATTTCTCTAAATTCTATCAATTATGCCATTACCCCAAAAACCCGTTACTTAAATCTTAGATCCTAACCAAATTATCATTCCATTTTTCTCTTCCTTTTTGCTTAGATGGATATATTTTAACAATCTAAATCATTACAGTTATTATAAACATTTAAAAAAATATTTTGATTTTATTACGGGTCACTTTAGTGACTGAAATTAAAACAGCCCCTCGAAACTTATGACCCAGTTGTGAAGTTCTGATGGTCACTCCCTGCTCCCACAGTCCCAAGGCGCTTAGCAACCAGACCACATTTATGGCCATTTGCAGTGTCCCAGTCATATGACCGCAATTTACGACATTTTTATAAAAACAAAAACAAAAACAACCAACCCCAATATTTACTTCTGACTATCGGCCGAAACACCTCATAGCAAACAAAGTTCACTTAACAACCACTACCAAAAAAAAAGGGTCATCAAAATCTGATCACACGGGTGATTCACTTTACAACTTTATGATTGTCTCCATTATAGTTGTGAGTTAAAAACTATCTGGAATTGATTTATTCTCACAAGGCGCTGAGCGCAGCTCAGTTGTAATGAGCGTGCGATGTCTTAGCTGTGCAAACGCCCATGTGCACAACCTACGCTCGCAAGCTGGGCAAATCCAGATGGCTGGTTTAGAAGAGAGCCAGCTTCCTCTCCTGGTTGTCTCCTTGTCCCACCAGCGGGTTCTGATCCTAGTTGTGATGCCCCCCACACCTCCATCCTCAGCCCCGTTAAGGCATTGCAGCAAATGGAGCCATCTTCAAAAATGGAAAACGACGTTCTGAGCCATTTGGTCCGACGCTAATGTGCTATTAAGTAGTTATCCAATAAGTGCATTCATGTAGCTTAACTGGAGCCAGCTGCCCAGAGGAAGGGAGGAAACTCTTGAATGTCAATGCGAGGGTTGACTCCCCCCCCCACTTCTTGTTTTTAAATAAAAAGGCCCATTCTGGGATTACAAGTATTTGCCACTTCCGGAGTGGCTAATTTCATTAACCAAGATTTGGACAAGGCTTGTTTCAGCCTCTGTATCAAAAAAACTTTCCTGACCTGGAATCCAGGGCAGGTCTGGGGCTGAGGGAGGGGATGGGTGGGAAGGACAGAGGGCTGGGGAGTGGGGGCTAATCTGAAGGGCAGGTTGGTGCCTTGGGGGTTATTCAAGACACTGCTTCCTTGAATGATCAGTTTTCATCAATAAAGGGCACTTTTCTTGGACTTTTAACTTGCAGTTGTAGATTTAAAAAAATATCTCAGCTGCATTTTATCCCATTGGGTCCCAATAAACAAATTCACCCCACGAGGCAGAAAAGGAAGAACATATTTTATCCTGGGGTTCCTCTTCCCCAAAGATCTGTTTCAGGACTGATGTTTTGAACTTTCTTCCAAACTACACATAGTCCTTGAGTTACAACTGTAATTGAGCCTCCAAGTCATGGCAGTCATTAAGCAGGGAATCACATGACTGTGCCTTTATGACCCCCCCTTTTTTTTTTTGCAGTGGTGGTTAACTGAATGCCACAATTGCTAAGTGAACCCTAAGGGCGGTATAAAAATCAAATCAAATCAAATAAATAAATAAATAAAACCCATTATTTTATATGGGCAGGGTTTGTTTTTTTTTTGGCCAGAAACCAGATGTTGTAAATTGCGATCATGTAATTATGGAACACTGCAAATGGCTGTAAATGTGGGCTGGTAGCCATTAGCACCTAAAATAGAATAGAATAGAATAGAATAGAATAGAATAGAATAGAATAGAATTCTTTATTGGCCAAGTGTGAGTGGACACACAAGGAATTTGTCTTTGGTGTATATGCTCTCAGTGTACATAAAAAGACAAGATACATCCGTCAAGAATCATACGGTACAACACTTAAGGATAGTCATAGGGTACAAATAAGCAATCAAATCATATTAGGAAACAGTCAATATAAATTGTAAGGATACCAGCAATAAGGTTACAGTCATGCAGTCGTAAGTTGGAGGAGATGGGTGACAGGAACGAAGAGAAGATTAATAGTAGTGCACAGTTAGTAAATAGTTGACGGAGTTGAGGGAATTATTTGTTTAGCAGAGTGATGGCGTTTGGGAAAAAACTGTCCTTGTGTCTAGTTGTTCTGGTGTGCAGTGCTCTATAGCGTCGTTTTGAGGATAGGAGTTGAAACAGTTTATGTCCAGGATGTGAGGGGTCTGTAGATATTTTCACAGCCCTCTTTTTGACTCGTGCAGTATACAGGTCCTCAATGGAAGGCAGGTTGGTAGCCGTTGTTTTTTCTGCAGTTCTAATTATCTTCTGAAGTCTGTATCTGTCTTGCTGGGTTGCAGAGCCAAACCAGTTATGGAGGTGCAGATGACAGACTCAATAATTCCTCTGTAGAACCGTATCAGCAGCTCCTTGGGCAGTTTGAACTTCTTGAGTTGGCGCAGAAAGAACATTCTTTGTTGTGCTTTTTTGATGATGTTTTTGATGTTAGGTGTCCATTTTAGGTCTTGAGATATGATAGAACCTAGAAATTTGAAGATCTGGGGTCACTTCACTGAGGGTAATTGTCAGAACTTCAAATCCGAGTCATCCCTTTTTCAGGTTCTGTTGCCACTTTAAATGGTCATTAGGTGTTGTCAGGTGAGGATTCCTTGCAGAGGGTGAATGGCGAGAGGCTTGTCAGGAGTTTAAGGGGATCCCTCCATGGTGATGAAGTTCTGAATTGGCAGCTGCCGTTTCACACGAGTCAATGCAAAGCAAGATACGGTGGTACAAAAAAAGCCAAATTTTGCCCATATGCAAATGCAAATTGATTTGCCAGAGAAGGGAGCTTTGAAGAGGAGAAGTAGGCAGAGAACTCGCCCCCCTCCCACCCCCGGATTTATTAGGAATGGGAATGAAGATAATATAATCACGGAGCACATTAGGAAGGTACATTAGGAACATTCAATATTGTAGTCACGGGAAAAGATTGATCAATTTTTTTTCAAAGATGGCCAAGGGAGACCATTAGAGAAGTGCAGTCTGTTTAAAAAATATGCATGGTGTGTGGAAATTGCAATCCAAGACCAACAACAGATTTTATCTAATGCTATGGCTGGCTGGGGAATTCTGGGAGTTGAAGTTGCCATGGTTGTCCACTC